CTTGGAATTGCAAAAACGTGACGAGGTTTTATGCCTGAAATCTTTGACCACCAACACGCCCTCTTCAGAAATGCATACGCAGAATACAGTCTATGTACGGCACTCACTCACTCCTGAATTTCTGCGGGAGATTTATAGTGACTTATGAGTTACGGGTGAGTTGGCCACATGCTAGAAACTGGCTCTGAGTGAACAAAAATACTCCCAGTCTGGCAAAGAGATGAGTACACACACCACAGTCATACTATGGAATAGTCCACCTAAACTACAAATATTGAGTAATGGCCACAGCACCTGCAAAAATATATGGCAATTAAAGTGGTCATAAAAGTCATGGTGTGGTTCTTTACCACTGTCTTATGGGGAAGAAAGAAATGGACGGTGAGAGGCGGGGGGAGGGGAAGGGACACAGGGATGAAGGGGGATTTCTGTTTACCTGTATGCAGAACTCACTTTAGACCTTTATAGATGTTTTTAAAAGAAATAAGAATGGTTTTCTTTAAACTATTTGTTCCCTTTCAGAGCAAGTTTCCATGCTCTCCCTTCTCTTAAACACTAAGAAGTATATGAATAAGAAAAGAAAAAAGTTTTCTGGAAAACAGTGTTTGAATTCAATGAAGGGAGCTCTAGGAACACTTAGATCGCTCTGACAGGTGAGGCAAAGAGCGAAATCTCTCCTGCAGGCTTGTACAGTTACAGTCAACTGAAGTCTGAAAACCAAAGGTTATTAACATTCTTAATGGGGGAAAAATAGATTACAAAAAGTCTAATGTTAATTGATTGATAAGCCCATCAGGAGGAATGAATTTTTCTCCAATTCATGCTAGAATGCTACTTTCAACCATCAAGTCTTCAGGATGCTGATTTTAATTAATTAGATGCTGTATCACATGAACACTTACCTATCCTTTTTCAAAACCCTCACACGTTGTTGAGACTTTCTTAACTAAAAAAAGGAAGAAAGGAAGGAAGGAAGGAAGCAAGGAAGGGAGGAAGGGAGGAAGGGAGGGAGGGAGGGAGAGAAAGAAAGAAAGGAGGGAGGGAGGAAGGGAAGGAAGGAAAAAGAAAGAAAAAGAAAGGAAGGAAACAGAAACTAGCAAACAGAATCCAGCAGCACATTAAAAGGATCAAACACCATGATCAAGTGGGGTTTATCCCAGAATGCAAGGATTCTTCAGTAAATGCAAATCAATCAATGCGATACACCATATTAACAAACTGAAGGAGAAAAACCATAGGATCATCTCAACAGATGCAGAAAAAGCTTCTGACAAACTTCAACACCCACTTATGATAAAAACTCTCCAGAAAGTAGGCATAGAGGGAACTTACCTCAACATAATAATAAAGGCCATATATGACAAACCCACAGCCAACATCGTTCTCAATGGTGATAAACTGAAACCATTTCCACTAAGATCAGGAACAAGACAAGTTTGCCCAATCTCACCACTGTTATTCAACATAGTTTTGGAAGTTTTAGCCACAGCAATCAGAGAAGAAAAGGAAATAAAAGGAATCCAAATCGGAAAAGAAGTAGTAAAAGTGTCATTTTTTGCAGATGACGTGATACCATACATAGAGAATCCTAAAGATGCTACCAGAAAACTACTAGAGCTAAACAATGAATCTGGTAAAGTAGCAGGATACAAAATTAATGCACAGAAATCTCTTGCATTCCTATACACTTATTATGAAAAATCTAAAAGAGAAATTAAGGAAACACTCCCATTTACCACTGCAACAAAAAGAATAAAATACCTAGGAATAAACCTACCTAAGGAGACAAAACACCTGTATGCAGAAAACTATAAGACACTGATGAAATAAATTAAAGATGATACAAACGGAGAGATACACCATGTTCTTGGATTGGAAGAATCAACATTGTGAAAATGACTATACTACCCAAAGCAATCTACAGATTCAATGCAATCCCTATCAAACTACCAATGGCATTTTTCACAGAACTAGAACAAAAAATTTCACAATTTGTATGGAAACACAAAAGGCCCCTAATAGCCAAAGCAATCTTGAGAAAGAAAAATGGAGCTGGAGGAATCAGGCTCCCTGACTTCAGACTATACTAGAAAGCTACAGTAATCAAGACAGTATGCTACTGGCACAAAAACAGAAGTATAGATCAATGCAACAGGATAGAAAGCCCAGAGAGAAACCCACGCACCTGTGGTCACCTTATCCTTTTTTTTTTTTTTTTTTTTTTTGCGGTACGCGAGCCTCTCACTGCTGTGGCCTCTCCCGTTGCAGAGCACAGGCTCTGGACGCGCAGGCTCAGCGGCCATAGCTCACAGGCCCAGCCACTCCACGTCATGTGGGATCTTCCCAGACTGGGCCACGAACCCATGTCCCCTGCATCAGCAGGCGGACTCTCAACCACTGCGCCACCAGGGAAGCCCGGTCACCTTATCTTTGATAAAGGAGGCAAGAATATACAAGACAGTGTCTTCACTAAGTGGTGCTGGAAAAACTGGACAGCTACATGTAAAAGAATGAAATTAGAAAACTCCCTAACACCATACACAAAAATAAACTCAAAATGGATTAACGACCCAAATGTAAGGCCAGACACTATCAAATTCCTAGAGGAAAGCATAAGCAGAACACTCTATGACATAAATCACAGCAAGATCCTTTTTGACTCACCTCCTAGAGAAATGGAAATAAAAACAAAAATAAACAAATGGGACCTAATGAAACTTCAAAGCTTTTGCACAGCAAAGGAAACTATAAACAAGACCAAAAGACAACCCTCAGTATGGGAGAAAATATTTGCAAATGAAGCAACTGACAAAGGATTAATCTCCAAAATATACAAGCAGCTCATGCAGCTCAATATCATAAAAACAAACAACCCAATCCAGAAATGGGCAGAAGACCTACATAGACATTTCTCCAAAGAAGATATACAGATTGCCAACAAACACATGAAAGGATGCTCCAACATCATTAATCATTAGAGAAATGCAAATCAAAACTACAATGAGGTATCACCTCACACCAGTCAGAATGGCCATCATCGAAAGGTCTACAAACGATAAATGCTGAAGAGGGTGCGGAGAAAAGGGAACCCTCTTGCACTGTTGGCGGAATGTAAATTGATACAGCCACTATGGAGAACAGTATGGAGGCTCCCTAAAAAACTAAAAATAGAGCTACCACATGACCCAGCAATCTCACTATTGGGCATATACCCTGAGGAAACCGTAATTCAAAAAGTGTCACGTGGGCTTCCCTGGTGGCGCAGTGGTTGAGAGTCCGCCTGCCGATGCAGGGGACACAAGTTTGTGCCCTGGTCCGGGAAGATCCCACATGCCACGGAGCGGCTAAGCCTGTGAGCCATGGCCGCTGAGCCTGCGCGTCCGGAGCCTGTGCTCCGCAACGGAAGAGGCCACAACAGTGAGAGGCCCGCATACCGGGAAAAAAAAAAAAAAAAAAAAGCGTCACGTACCACAATGTTCATTGCAGCACTATTTACAATAGACAGGACGTGGAAGCAACCTAAGTGTCCATCGACAGATGAATGGATAAAGAAGATATGGCACATATATACAATGGAATATTACTCAGCCGTAAAAGGAAACCAAATTGAGTTATTTGTAGTGAGGTGGATGGACCTAGAATCTGTCATACAGCGTGAAGTAAGTCAGAAGGAGAAAAACAAATACTGTATGGTAACACATATATGGAATCTAAAAGGAAAAAAAAAATAGTCCTGAAGAACCTAGGGGCAGGAGAGGAATAAAGACACAAATGTACAGAATGGATCTGAGGACACAGGGAGGGGGAAGGGTAAGCTGGGACAAAGTGAGAGAGTGGCATGGACCTGTATACACTACCAAATGTAAAATAGATAGCTAGTGGGAAGTAGCCACATGGCACAGGGAGATCAGCTCGGTGCTTTGTGACCACCTAGAGGGGTGGGATAGGGAGGGTGGGAGGGGACGAAAAAGGAAGGGGATATGGGGATACATGTATACGTATAGCTGATTCATTTTGTTATATAGCAGAAACTAACACCACAATGTAAAGCAATTATACTCCAATAAAGATGTTAAAAAAAAAAGAAAGGAAGGAAGGGAGGGAGGGAGGGAGGAAGGAAGGAAGATGTTAAGAAGTTATAATTTTAACAAGAGAACTGCTACATCTTCTAACTAATTCTCTTTATGGAAACAAAAAATACAATAATCTATAACCCATCACAGCTGTTTGGCTAGAATTACCAATTACCTTCAATGCCTTAGAGATACTTTTCACACTTTTACAAGTCTGCATAGTAAATTTTTAAACCAATTTTCTTAAAGAGGATTGATAAGATTTATACCATTTTAGGTGTACACGATGACATATTTAAGTTGATATAAAATCAAGGCTTTACATAAATGGAGGAAAAAGAAGACAGGGATTAAAAATAAAAGACAACCCGAAACAACTATGATTATTTAAAAAATCATTTATGTTAGGTTTTGAAATGTGCTTTTCACTCACATTTGAATATGGGTGTTGCATATTTACTGGAGTCCACATCAAACAAACAAGAAAGCCTTGTGACGAGAAGCCAGAAATGTGTATGATCGCTCATTGTCCCCTGACCTAATTGCTGCTGCAAGCTCCCTGCACTTGGGGAGGACTTGCTGTTTTTCAGACCACTGCAAGGTTTCCAGATAGGCAGCTAATTGTGTGGCTTCCCAGCACCTCTGCAGACAACGTAAATAAAGGAGTTTAGAAAAGTGACAGCACTTTAAATAACCAGATTAGGTGGAATCAATAGGAAATGCTCAGGAAGTTAATGAAGCAATTAATTAAGTAGAGTGGTTGGGGGAGGGGGAGCTTGAGAGGAAAACTGGTGTACATCGCCCCTAATACGGATAAATAATTAAGAGTGGGCTATAAAGTTATCAAGCACACCACTGCACATGCCTCCTCTTCATATGCGCCCCCAGAGGGGCCACCTGTAATTGTCTTTCTTCTTCTTTAAACAGAGGACTGTGCCTCCCTCATCCTCACCTGTCTGTTTTGCCAGTTTTTGGATTGCCTCCTGATGCTCCCGGATACGTGTGAAACGGTGTGTACCAGTTTGTGCTGCCCCTCTCACAGGTATCGCCACACCTCAGATGAAAGCCACTCCCGGAATGACTGCAACTGCAACTGTGACATAGACTGCAGCCTTTTTGAATCTTGCCAGGAGACCAGTGAGTGTCTGGAGCTGGCCATGGAGATTTCAGAAATCTGTTACCACTAGCACGACAAAGGAACCACATGCCAGCAGACCCTTTGGCCCCCGGGGGAAACTCCATTACAATGAGACTGTGATTTCTATGCGCTGAAATGTAAGGACTGTATACATTTCTTGGATGCTCCAGACCATTTTATTCTGCACCTGTCTGGGAAAAAGGTAGTATTGTCAACTCAATGGCCTTATTCCAAATTTCCCAACCGCATGGCTCACTGAAAAATCAGATCTTGATCACATGTGATGAACAAATCTTAAATACCTCTTAAATGCCATAGGTACAAGATGTTTCTTAACTGTAAAACAGCATGTGAAACCATTCTGTTATTGCACTCACTGGCTTGCATCATGGATTCAACTTCATTCACAAATTCAGGACAAATTAGCACATTCTTTTAGAACTGACATACATTAGCTTGTCCTTCTAATGGACTCATGTATAAACATTATGCATTGTTGGTTATTATTAATAATGCATTGCATAACATCATTTTGTAATTAAAAATTTATTTGTACAGTCTCTTAAAATTCACTTATATGTTCAGTTTAGGTAGGAAAGGGAATTAAATGAATTAGAAACCGTGTTCCTATAATTACTACAGATGTCTCCAAGACATATCCAGTGAATTTTGAATATGATGTACTTCGAGAGAGTGCTGTAATTCTAGACCGTATTATTATTATGTCTATGACTATGTCATAACAGGTTATGCATGTTCTTAATTTGTTACAGAAAGGCTTTTCTTTATTCTAATGAGCAGAAATGGGAATTACGTGCAAGTTTCAAGAAAATGACCCCAGATCATCAATTTGCCATTTTCCTCATTCCTGTTTGTCAGGTACAATAAGCAGCAGGATATTAAAACAGAACCATTTCATTTTACTGAACGATGAGTTGTGTAGGCACCTGAAAGAAATACATGTGTAGGCACTTATTCAGCACTAAGTTTCCTAATACAGCACGTGCTTCACAAACCATGTTTTTTTTTCTTTTTCTGATAATTCAAGTGATTCATAATTATGTTGAGCACTTCCTCACACGTACAAAAATTTTTTTAAAGATGTGATACAAACGTAGAAAGTGACTTCCAACTCCAACGAATTAAAACAATTTGTGCAGGTTGAAGTTACTTTGGAATTTTCTTTACTTTCTGTAGGCATGGCGTTGCTCACAAACATGTGCTTAAATATTCCCAGGGATATCTTCACTGAATATAAAAAAGCACACTATATCAATAACCGAACAAAGAACACGAAAGTAAAATGGAGAGTCGAGGGAACTTTTTATGATTTAGGCAACAACAACAACAAATTCCTGTCCTTGCCTGACTTAGGTAATTTTGAACAAAAGCTATGCTTGTTTTGTTTCTGTAATCAACTAGCACATTCTTCTACTCTGCAGTAATTTCCTCAAAACGCTGAAAACTCTTAATCTTTTGAAAATATTTTTAAGCTTCCCATCAAAAGGCACTGAACTGCTCTTGTCTTGTTCCGGATAGCACAGAGCATCCATGGTTAATGCAGGCTTCATCCCTGTTTGACTATCATGTTTTCCACTAAGTACAGAGCATGTGATTGCCCACCCCTTAGGAAACACTTTGGTCTCAGTGCTTTTCGGAAGCTCAGAGACAACTCTATTCTCTATGCATAGAACCTGTAGATCTTTATGAGGGAAAACTGTAAACCCTTAAGAAGGGGACTTGGAGCTGTTCTTACCCAGTATTTTCATTTTTCTTAAGAGAAAATAGAGGACCCCAAGAACTGACTTATCCAAGACCATACAGTGATTTAATGGCAGTGTCGGGAACTCAAACCGGTGGTCTAATTTTCTAATGACACTGTACCACCCCAGGATTCTCCACTTCTTAGTCCAGCTTTACACAGTGATACAGCTACTCCAACTGTTCAAATATTAAACTACTACTAGACTGGCTCATAAACAGTTGCTACCGTGAACCTCCTTAGGGCTTCTCCCTGTACCCCCAGCCACCTGGCCCCTCTCCAAGCACCCACCCACCTCCCCCCAATCCAGCCACTCAAGGAAGAACACCTGGACCTGCAGGGGGTTTCTGGGATCCTGTCCCAATAATATGGTACCTGGTGTCATTGATCAGGCCATGTCATATCTGGTGTTATTTATTTTGACCATCATCCCCTTATTCTTTCTAGTCTACATACCCTCAAATTGGGCAAAGATGGTCCACTTCGAATGTGAATTGAACGCTTGTCAATTAGAGACGTTAAGAATTGTCAGGTCTTGGGCTTCCCTGGTGGCGCAGTGGTTGAGAGTCCGCCTGCCGATGCAGGGGACACGGGTTCGTGCCCCGGTCTGGGAGGATCCCACATGCCACGGAGTGGCTGGGCCCGTGAGCCATGGCCGTTAAGCCTGCGCGTCCGGAGCCTGTGCTCCGCAACGGGAGAGGCCACAACAGTGAGAGGCCCACATACCGCAAAAAAAAAAAAAGAATTGTCAGGTCTTATTTTATACTGTGGTCAGAATACTACAAGATCTTTCTGTGGCCTCTCTTATCACGGTTTGTTAACTTATTCCTCACTTTCAGAATTCACCATGCTCCATGCTCTAACAGAAAGGATCGGTTATACAAAGTGTGCAATTTCTTTTCTTTATCACCAATAATAAAACATCATCCTTTTTGCAAACATGAATGGCTCTTTCAATTGAATTCTTGCACAATAAAATATACGCAGCTGGGAAAATGCAATTGCAGAGGTAAGACAGATGAAAAAGGAATGTGGTTATTGATTAAATACAAATATCAGAATCTGAGAAGGCTCAGGTTTTTTTCTCTGCAATGATGAAGGCCGGTGATCACAAATAAAGATAATGTTGTTCTTTAAGGTGGGCTTTTAAGGGAAAAGAATATTCTGATTTAAGGAAGCACAACAGATAAGAGAGATCTGAGAACATACAACCTTTATAGGGATTCCAGAAGAGAAATTTTTTTTTCCCACAGCAATATAACCAGATAAGTACATTGTCTTTGCTTTGCTCAATGGATTTTTATAAAACCATTGCTTCTCTAAAAGCCTACAAAATATGGAAAGCCATTAAAAAAAGAAGTTACATTTAACTTGCTGATGAAATTTTCCCACTACATAAGCTGATAGGCCTACAAAATTAATTATCAATGCTGGACAATCAAAGTTAATAAAGCAAAAGTCGCTTCCGTTTTTTCCAAAGAAGTAAGACAACATAGTCAGGGAACCTTTACAAATAGGAAACATCACATGAAGGCATATCAGCATTTTTTCAAGGATAAATGTGAAGGTGGAAACGTTTCAAGGACAGAATTCATTATCCAATGCCTCTAAATTTCTCCCTCTACAAAATGAAGCAAAAGAGTAATACATACACTTAAGAGACGCACTTTGACTATAAGAATTTTGCCCATCAAATGCTAAGTTCACCAAGGGTACACAAACTGATGACCTGTGATAAAATTATAAAATTTAAGTATTTGATTTAATAGTTTGTTGGGTGTTCTCTGAAAAATATATCTGAGTTAAAACCTGAAGAGTTGCCATATAGAGCCTCACGTGAGCCGTTTAGAAAGGCAGAGTGAATAAAGCATAATTTTCCAGTGATCATAATCAACACTGGACCAAAACTGTATTAGTGAGATCCTCTACGTATGTCTAGACAGCTCCTTACATTACTGTGAAGAAGTCCAGAATGTGGGGAGGGATGAAAACGGAGGAAGGGACAGGACATGTATCAGCATTGGATAAAAGTGCCTCCTTCTGGCCTACCATCTGGATTGGATAAAAGTGCCACCTTCTGGTCTACCATCTTGATTGGATGAAAGTACCACCTTTATCCAGGTCTACCATCTTGATATGCTTCACAGCCTCACTTTTGCCACTGTCTATAAAGCAGTGGTTCTCAATTAGGGGTGATTTGGCAATCATTTGGCAATGTCTGGAGACATATTTGGTTGTCACAATGGAAAGAGGAAGGATGTGATTAGCCTTTAGTGATTAGAAGATAGGAATGCTAATAAACCTCCTACAACACACAGGATAACCTCCCCAAAGAGCTCTGCGAGGCTTTCTATCAGTCTCAATGAACCATCACCAAACTGACCTTAAAAAAACTGTTGGAGGGGTGCCCTGATGGCGCAGTGGTTGAGGGTCCGCCTGCCGATGCAGGGGACACAGGTTCGTGCCCCGGTCCGGGAAGATCCCACATGCCACGGAACGGCTAGGCCCGTGAGCCATGGCCGCTGAGCCTGCGCGTCCGGAGCCTGTGCTCCACAACAGGAGAGGCCACAACAGTGAGAGGCCCACGTACCGCAAAAAAACAAAAAACAAACAAAAAAAAACTGTTGGAAACAGACTTGCCAGGTAAAAGACAGGATGCCCAGTTAACTTTAAATTTCAGATAAATAACAAAAATATTTTAGTATAAGCATGTCCCAAACATTGCATGTGACACACTTATACTATGAAATGATTCCTCATTTATCTGAAATTCAAATTTAAGTGGTTTTCCTATATTTCTATTTGCTAAGTCTAGCGGCCCTAGTTCAAAAGACTCCACATTTTGAGAGGGAATGTAGGGAAATGGTGATCCTTCAGCTCCCTCCCTGACTCCAAGCGAGGAATGATTGTTGACCTCTTTGGTCAGAAGCCAGGACATTCACTGGGCCACATTTTACCTGGTGGTGTAATTTAGGTCGGGGAACCTGGTTTAAAGATCAGCTCTAAAACAGGACACTCTCATTTTCCCTCCTGTCTAAGGTTCCTGTCTTGGACTAAGCTGGTCATGTCACATCTCTGTTGGCAACTGAGGAAGCACCTTAGCCAAGAGCTATCTTGATTCAAGAAGTAGTAAGCAGAGGCCTTCACTTACACCTTCACATCTAAACCATATTTTCTGATTCAGTCTTGGCTAGAAAGACCTGCCCTGAGTAGTGCTTGCATCTCTAGATCAACAGCTCCCTCTGCCAAAATTCAGTAAGGGAAAAAGGGTGAGTGGGAGGGTGAAA